CTTGGCTCACAGGCAGGGGTGTTCATCCAGTCACATTTCCTCCCAGGCCTTTTCCCCCTTTTTCTAATTAAAGGCCTTTAAAAAACAAGCTACCACATAGGACATCAGAAAGAAGGGGTCAAGCCCTCAGATTGTACATCGAAAGACACAAGAACAAGGCAAGCTGCTTTTAGATTTTAAAATAACTTCCCTGTTTGAACCTTCCTGAAATGGTGAAGTCCTTTGCCTGCCAGCTGGAGATGCCCCAGGGAACTTTATTCCTATCCAAACAGTGGCATGGTTCCAGATGATAAACAGCCTGTCCTTACCATTGATCCTAGACAAATGTCTAATCTTGGATGGAAGATTTCTAGACACTCCCACCTTCTGTGAATGCTGGTATGGCCCTATGGTCCCAAATGACAGTCTAAATATTTCTACGGTACCTGTCACTGTCATCTCAAAGCCCCCAAAACACTATATGCATTTCCAACTTCACAATGACTTTAACCTTCTGAATCATCAAAAGACATTAAAGGGTGTTCAGTATAGTTTTTGTGTTTAATGTTGAATCAGTGGTTGTCCTCCTGTTTCTGTGAATCACATGTCTTTGGATATTTCTGAAACCACTGAAAGAGCCATCCATAGCGATTTGTGGATGGTTCAGATGTATGGTGTAGAAGGAGGGGTGAGTCATGCTCAGTGGGAAGGAATGCAATCTAGACAATAACAACTATGCCTTTGAAGTCAGAGCTTCGGCCAATGGTTGTGGGCAGTTTCACTAAGAAATAAAGTGAAATACTGAAGCAAACTTGGAGCAAGTAGCAATCATGACCCATGCCCTCAAGTAGCAACCACATTTTTTTTAACATAGCCTATTCTATAGCTTCTTCATACAGACAGGTCATGAGGTATTGCAGAAAGAGACAAGGCTAAGAATCAAAGCACTTGGGTTTGGTCATTGACACTTTTTAAACTGGGATATTAGTCATAAAACCTAGACATCAATTTTTTCATTTGGAAAATAATACCTGCCCTCCTACAAGATTGTTACAGAAAAATTTTATAAACTGCAGCTTATTTGCAATGTACATTAGTATTAGTGGTAGACATAGTAATGGCATCCTCTGGTAGACACATATTACTTTTTTGGCATCCCACATCTATTCTTCTTTTATATAACAGTGTCTTACTTTACTTGGGAGAATTAATTCTTCTCTGTGTCTTGATAAACTAACCATGAAGAGCCCCTGGATTTAAAAGGCTAAGCAGGGGACAACTGACCAAACTGGGTCAACTGGAACTTCACCTACCCTGCTTGCTAATAATTGTTCTGACCCTATGATCTAATCTGATTCCTCTGTTAAGATTTCTTCACTGGTTCCCCTAAGTCTTCAGAATCTAGTCCAAACTTCTTAGTCTTGCATGTAAGACACTTCACAACCTTGCTCCGTCAACTTTTCCATCCTCACCTTTGTGAGTATAATGAGGAATCCACATTCTTCTTAACTTTGCCTCTAATTTGTATATTTAACCCATCTTTCCTTGCTAATTCAGCTTCTGTAATCCCAACCAGTTTTGTGCTCCCCATTTTGTGATTATCTCCAAGAAAAGCTACAGCAGTTGACTCTTTCAAGCCACCATCAATAGTTTTTTTTCTTCACTCTTCAGGGATTAGTCCTCTTAGCCCTGACATACTGCAAAAGACCACAGTTTATTCCTTCTGGCTTCCTTGTGAATGAACATCAATCACCCGGTATGTTCTTGTAACCAACCTGTTACTCCATTTATCTCTTTCATGAGGATTGATTTCCTGGGAGATCATTTTCTTATTCATCAAGGGAGTCACATCAATCATGTTCATCTACTTTGTAAACCAAGAACTTTGGAATAGAAGTAAAGCTCAAAAGCTTTATTTCTGAATACCTTTTCCTGTGTATAAGTACCTCCAGGGATATGGAACTCACTTCTGAGAACACTTATTCCATCTTTAGATGTCTCCAGTTGTTAATGTTAGATGTCTCCAGCTCTTCTTTTACACGGAGATAGACTCCCTCCCTTTGTAACTTCCACTCCTGATTCCATTTTATCTACCCAGAGTTATGTTTCCATTCTCTCTTCTATATAATTTCACTTCAAATTTTTGGAAACACTTCTCATGCTCCCTGTTCCAAGTCCACTTTTGCTAGACCAAATCCTCCAATCACCCTCATATAAAATTCAATGACTGAGCCAGTGGTTCATGAACATGATAATTAGCAAACTGTGGGTCCCAGTTATCTTCCCGCAGAGGTCTTCATCTCCTTAAGAATGACCTCAGAAATCAGCTTGCTCTCCTGGTCTCACATAAAAAGAATACTTAACAAATAGGCCAGCAGGATGAAATAATCCCAACATAAGGAATTTTAAAACTGTGACAGCATTTTGAAGTATTGTCTAAAGGGGTGTGAATATAAATAAAGACTCAGAATTTTGTATTTGGAAAGTAAATACAGTGCTTTGTGCACTCAGAAAATTTTTGTAGATTTCAAACTAACCCCTTTAAATAAGTAACATAGCTCGTGTTGTCCCACAAAGTTTCCATGACAAATTTATCATGCTTTGAACACCTCTAATTAATGTTGAACATAACAGAATGATGTGTTTTTCCCCCCCAAGAACCCTAGCATTTCTGTTTGTTTCACAGACAGGCTGCTTCTACTACAATGAGTTTGGATTGGCAGCCTTGTACAGTTTCCTTTACGATTCCTTTAAAGTAATACTGATTTCTGTTCTTCATCTTTCCTTCCATAATTGGTGACCACTGTCATCTGACTTCTGTTTTACTCACCTCTCAGCTGCTGGCCCCTTTTTTCCCTTGGGAATAGCATTTTTGCCCAACTCTGCATGTTTTGATCCAGAGGAATGCCCTTCATACGCTTCAACACATCCTCAGATGACAAAGCTTTCACTGTATTCATTTCCCCATGTTTGCAGAACAACTGGGACCAAATTATTTAAAGTGTTTATTACCTGGCCCCCTTTTCCTGCACAGGCAATTACTTCTCTGCAAATGGCTGCCCTGGCCAAATAACTATGTTCACAATTAGCTAATTGCAGGCTCAATGAGCCACTTGTTCCTTCAAACTTGACTATTAGAGTGTGATTAACCAAAAATGTGTCTTTTTATTCCCTTCTGATTTACAGAGTTCCAGCAGATTCCAGATCTGATCTCTCTATGTTCTTTTACAATGTCAATATAAGCCTTTTACCTTCATTTCCTACTAAATATCAGTCATATTTCCATTCTTCTATAAAGTCACAAGTTACACTTTACATACTGGACCCAAAGACTTTGTTTGAATTAAGTCAATCTTCTAAAAAGGCAGACCATTATTACCTTAATCCAATTTACAAAATATAATGTGGCTGGGCGAGGTGGCTCACACCTGTAATCCCAGCACTTTTAGGAGGCCAAGGTGGGCAGATCACTTGAGGACAGAAGTTTGAGATTGGCCTGGCCAACATAGCAAAACCCTGTCTCTACAAAGACGTGGTGGTACACACCTGTAGTCCTAGGCTACTCAGGAGGCTGAGACACGAGAATCACACCTGAGAGGCAGAAGTTGCAATGAGCTGAGATTGAGCCACTGCACTCCAGCCTGGGTAACAGAGCAACACTCTGTCTCAAAATAAAATCAAATAAAATAATTTTTAAAAATAGAACAATAAAAACTAAAAAAAATAATACTAAGGCATCAGAACAGTTGTTTTGCCAAAGTCACACAATCATGATAAAGACTAAAACTAAAAATCATAAATAGCAACTGCCATTTTCTCCCTAGGAATTGAGTTTTTGTATAATTTTTACATAGGGTACAAATCAACCTTCAACTTCACTTACTTTTAATAGGAGGTACTCTAACATATTCCTCAAATTGCCATTACCTGGTTTCTTGGTAGCTACAAAAGTATAATTTCTTTTGAAAAATGGCTTTAAGTATATATCCTGAACTACCTTTTTTCCTACAATTATGCAGTTTCTTTTCTTATTTCTGTATGTCCTAATTTTCTTGTTCAAACAACATTAATAGAGCACAAAATATGTGCTCAATTTTCAGTTTCATACAAAGAGGTCAGCTCCCACTGACATTCCTCCAATCCACAAAAAAGGAAAGTAGTCAAAAGTAACGAGTTTTCATTTATGAGGAAATTAATATTAATAAGGATTAGATGTATTTGCTTTGAGAATAACTTGGACACTTTTAGGTTTCAAGATATTTGTGTTCCAATTAAACACTAGTACATCTCCCAAGCAGCTGTTTTCATTGGGCATCTTTTATTATGAAACCCTCCACTTTACCAGTATCTTTTCTTATGATTGTCTTAGTGGAGGTAATCTAGTGGGAAAAGATTCCTGATGTCTCCAGAGGTTCTGACACATCGGTGAATTCTTATCTCTGTGTAATCTCTAGCTTGCTACAAGGGGCCTCTTGCATTTTCTTCAAAATGAGCATATAAAAAGACAAAGAGAAAAATCAGGGTTAAAGGTGAAAGTGGAAAGGAGGGAAAAAAATCTAATAACGCAGAAAAATATTCGGGACAATGATAATAGCAGGGGAAGGGGGTGGTCATAGCTTTCAAGAAATAAGCTATAGTAAGTACAACTACTGAGGGCCGGGCGCGGTGGCTCAAGCCTGTAATCCCAGCACTTTGGGAGGCCGAGGCGGGTGGATCACGAGGTCAAGAGATTGAGACCATCTGGTCAACATGGTGAAACCCCGTCTGCAGTGAGCCGAGATCGCGCCATTGCACTCCAGCCTGGGTAACAAGAGCGAAACTCCGTCTCAAAAAACAAAAACAAAAAAAAAGTACAACTACTGCTCAAAAAGCACATATTCTAAAAGGGTGTGTGTGAGAGAGATAAAGACTGTGTATGCAACCTGTATACACCTGTATAAAGACAGGGGACATGTGAGAAGAGGGTCAGGATACAGTGCAAGCGGTCTAAGATGAAAATGTCACCAGTGGTTTTCACTTACCCAACACCAGCAGTTCCACTGAGTCCTCATTTTTGCCCTCCAGGTCATCCGGGGTGGTGATAATACAGTAATAGAGTCCGCTGTCTCCCCACATGAGCTTTCCAATATGAAGATCTGCATCTGTTATCACGAAAAGAAGGACCCAGTCCTGAAACTCTGTCCTCTGAAAGAAAAACACTGAACAATGGGGGTTGGGAGGGGAGAACCCCTCTGGAGTGTCTGAAGTGTTTTCTTTCTTTATCTGGATGGTGACTGAAAGAGGTTTACTTTCTTTAAAACAAACAAACAAACAAACAAGATCAACAGAACCATAACAAAAACTAGCATTTCTAAGGAAAGACAATTAGAGCCTGCCAGAAACCGGTCTAGTTCTGGTCCAGTTTCAGGAGTAGGAGATGGCTTTGAACCAGGCCTGCAGAGGCCCCTGAGAGCCACAAAAATGCTAGAATTATTCTGAACTCCTGGAAATAAGCTAACATCACAGGAGTTCTTCAAAATTCAAATAATCAAATAGGTCATATCAGACTCTTGGGAACTTTTGATGTCCAAAGCTTTAGAGAGCAAGAGAAAGGGTAGAATTGATGCAAAGCCACCTGGGGCTTGGGCCAAGCATCTACCTGGCTCTGTTATTTGTATGCATATATCCCATCCCCCAGTGAAAAACCTGCTTTCCATTTGGGAAAGAACCCTAAAGGCTGATGTCAAGGTGGGTATAGGATATTTGACGAAAAAAGTTTTTTCTCTAAGACCCATTTCAATTCAGCTCTAAAAACAAACTCCTGAGACTTGATGCTGGACTCTGGAAAGACTGTTTCCAAAGTTCATCTGTATGTCTTCTCTAGATTTTACACCATCCACCCTTTTCCCCCCTCACCATCCCATCCCATTAAACAGTTAGAGGTAGTAGGTCTAACTCTTTTACCCACAAACCAGTAATAGGTCTCTTGATGCTCCCATTTCCAATAAAATCAAAGTCTTAGATATCCCAACCCAAGGGAAGGGAAGAATGAAACTAACCTCCCTCCCATTTCCTAGATTCAAAACAGGGGCATTATTACCATGAACAATCGTGATCTCTCTGCCCCTGTAGAAATCTCCCAGGGTGATAGCCGAGCCCTGCTTCGAAGCTACCACTCGAACAGTCCTCCTGCTGTCTAAACAATCCAAGTAGGGGTCCCATTCCAGGTTTCTCTTGCTGAGAGATTGGGCCCGGGTAGAGGACATGCCCAAGGATTCTCCCATGCGATCCTGGCAGTAGGACTTGAACTTCCACTGCACAACTGCAGGCTGATGAGAGGATGTAGAGAAGTGGCAGCGAAGCACAGTGGGCTGGAAGAGCATAGCCACCTTCTTCTTGTCAGGCACTGTGACCTGAAGGCCTTTGACCATGGCTGCAAAACAGAATAAACATGTCCAAACAGTGTCCATATCCTGGACCTCCCCTTCTACCACATGGTCATACCTTTCCACTTCACTTCCCTAACTTGTGTCCCCTCAACCTCACTTTCAGCATCACACTTAATGGCATTAATACCCATCTGGTTGCTGTGTGCAGAAATATGCCCTCTAATATGGTTTGGATTTGTGTCCCTGCCCAAATCTCATGTCAACTTGGAAGAGGGGCCTGGTGGGAGGTGATTGTATCATGAGGACAGGTTTCCCCTGTGCTGTTCTTGTGATAGTGAGTGACTTCTCATGAGAAATGATGGTTTGAAAGTGTGTGGCACTTCCTCCTTCACTCTTTCTCTCTTGCTGCCATGCAAAGAAGGTGCTTACTTCCCCTTCGCCTTCTATCATGATTGTAAGTTTCCTGAGGCCTCCAGTCATGCTTCCTGTTAAGCCTGTGGAACTGTAAGTCAACTAAGCCTCTTTTCTTCATAAATTACTCAGTCTCAGACAGTTCTTTATAGCAGTGTGAGAGCAGACTAATACAGCCTTACTCCCTATATCCAGTCAGGCACTAAGTCATGTCAACTTATCTCTTAACATCTTTAAGATGTTAAGATGTTCTTCCCTCCTCTTTAACCCCATTACCGTTGCCTTTGCTGAGACCCCCTTCTTTTCCTCCTTGTAACACCACAGTAATCTCTTGTTTGGTCTCCCTGCCTTCAATCTGTCAACACCCAGTATACTCTTCTTGCTACAGTTCAGATGATCTTTCTAAACTGATTGTTATGGCTCTCTTTCTTAAGACCTTTCACTCATCCTCCATAGCCTTCAGGATAAAACCAAAAGTCCTTGGCAAGGTATTCCATCATCTAGTTCCTCTTACCTCCTGAACTTCACCTCTTACCTCTTGAAGCACCTCTATTTAAGTGCCAAGCTCCAAGAATATCAAACAACTAATTGCTTCTCCAGTGGGATATCTTGTTTCACACCTCTACATCTTTGCACATGATGTGTCCTGTTTCCGGGATGCTTTTTCCTCACTTCTTTGCTTGGGAAACCCTTTTGCATCTTTCAAAATCCAGTTCAAGGACTCCTTGGAAAGCCTTCTCTGACCAGTAAGTTTATAGCATCCTCCTTCATGCTATCAGTACACCCAGCATTTTCTTCTGGAATTTACTCTAACAGTCTTCCAAGTATTTCTTTTCATGCTTGTCAGGCCTGTCAGACTTATCAGGTATGGAAGGCATCTTATCTTGCTGCCCTGGCTTGTGAAGCCCATAGGTACCCAACAAATATTTGATAAATAATGACAATGAAGCCAGGAAGTATCACTTCAGGAGGAAGTGACTTCCCTTCCAGCTGGTGACCCAGCAAAGGGGACAGAGATGAAGAGGAAAAGAAGTCTTTGAGAGAAATGGAGGATTTCAGATCAAATACTGTGGACTAAGTTCAAAAGCTTTGAAGGGTAATCAAAAGAAGGAAAAAAAAAGGGGGGGGGCTAAAAAGCAGATGAGAAGTTTAAGTGGTAAAAAGATCCAACCTGAGGCTTGGTGACCAAGAAAGAATGAGAAATTTCAGTGAATGAGAAACCAGGGGTATGTTTGAGAAGCAAAGGTCCCTCATGAACTCAAATGATAAGATCTAGAAATTCCAAACAAAGGGAACATAACTTCCTCAGTTGAATGGGAAAGTCAAGAGTTTTTAACTTGATGTGAGGTTAGAAGCAGAAATAGAATTATGATGAGAGGCAGAAAAAACAAATATGAAGATATCATAAAGAGGTTCTGAATTGAATCCAGGAGACTCCCAAGTCAGCTTCAAGTAGCTTGGGGTAGTGACATGCAAAAAAGGACTACTTTCCATGGAGTCCTGTCCTTTACTAGTGCCAATGTTCACAATAACATCCTGCAAAGCCAGCTCACTCCCACAGCTAAAGCATAAACTTACTTATGAATATGCCTCTTTACTGGAGGACTCTTGACAAGGGCAAGATACATAATTGTACTCATATCTTCTGACATCCACACCAATGTCTCTATTCAGTGAAAGGAACAATGAAAAAGTAGATCCTAATTCCTATTGGGGAAAGGGGTTTCTGCATTCTGTAGAACCTGGAAATGAATACAACAGCGTATTTGAGATTTATTAAGTCTCAAAGCATTTCGGACTTACCCTGTGCTCAGTAGCCACCTACAGAATAAATGAAGAAATGGATGAGCAAGTGAATGGCTATAAATAAGGAAATTTTTAGGGCTTTACAGAGGAAACAAGTTAAATAAGTCAGAAGTGTAGGAAAACAGTGTTGGCATCAAATAGGAATGGCTTTGAATCTCATCTGGCCATATACTTTGGATGGTTTCTTGAGCAACCTGAGACTCCTTTTCCTCATCTATAGAATGAGCATCATAATGCTTACTCTTAGGCTTGCTGACAAACGTTCTTTCATTGGGCGCCTTCCGAGAGGAGACTCAGTAGAAGAGCACTGTGACCGGTAGACTAGGTCTCAAATGCTAATTCTCCCTCACCTTGCCAACCTTTCCCCTCACCTCCCATCCTGAATCTTGATGACCATCCATCACCACCAGGCTTGATTACACAAAGATTATGTAGATCATCAAAAGCATGATGCATCAAAAAGCAAACAATTCCATTTGGAAGCTCCCTGAAGAACCCTAGTTCCCATGCTTCCTTTCACCATCCCTAAATGTTGATGTGGCTAATTCCACATCACAATTCCACACTATATCTCCCTCACTTACACAGCTGGATAGAAAAATCACCTTCTTTATAGTTTCTCCTTAAATTCTAGTGTGTTAATTTTTTAACCTTGTAATTATCCTTCAAATCCTTAATTACACCCCATTTTTCAGGTAATAAAAATGGGACGAGAGAGGTGAAATGACTTCAATGATCAGTGGTTGAGGCTGGATAACCACTCAACAGGCACCATTCCCATACACAGCTGTGTGCTTGACCACACCACCTTTCTGCTCTGCTGCTATTCTGGCACTGAATCACATTTCCTAGCCTTTCTTTTTTTCCTTTCCAACTTTTGTTTTAGGTTCAAGGGGCACATGTGCATGTCTGTTACATGGGTACATCGTATGTTGCAGGGGTGTGGTGTACAGACAAGTTCGTCATGCAGGTGGGTGCTATACAAAAGTGTAGTGAGATTTATTTATTTTTTTAGAGAGAAAGTTAAGTTTGTGGTTTTGTTGATTAGATGATTACCAAGAATAACCTCCTTCTAAGCTCTGTTCTCTGTTAATGAGATTAGCCACTTGAGCAAGCCACTGGACTCTCTTAAATTATTAACAGAGGTTGGTCAATGCTCAGCTTCTATGACATAAACATAAACTCATGCTCCCAAGAATACAAAATACATTCTCAGAAACATCTGCCTTTTTATAGCATGATACTTAAAGGCATGGATTTTGTAGTCAATCCTAAGTAAGAATCCAGGCTCTACATGACCTCAGGCAAATTACTCAACTCTGATGACTTTCAGTGTCCTCACTGGCAAAACCAGAACAATAGTAACTATGTTATGGAATTGTTTGAAGGTTAAGTGGGATTGATCCTAAGTATTTAGAATAATACCTGGTATATAGTGAGCATTCAATAAATGTAGTTGTCAGCATTGCTATCAAGAGCAGTTTGCTAACTTCTGTGAAGCTACAAACCTAGAGCTATGCAAGCACAAGGATCAAGATGTGAGATGCCGAGTGTGTACAGGGCAAAAACTGCACAAGAATGCTAGACTATGTCATTAGGAGTTCAGCAGTGACAGTGCCTGGGTCTGTTCATCACTGCATTTCACGTATGTACCTCCTGGAACTCAGAGGTAGAGAGTAACCCTGTGAGTGTGTGTGCACACATACATACACATGTACACATGTACAGGCACAATGGGACTCTAAGAGTAGATCTGGAGAAGACAAGACTAGAATTCCAAGTAAATGTCAGTTTATTGGATCTTTGAGGACCACAGAGTGAAGTGTTAGAGATAAAAGTAAAAATGCCAATCCCTGCTTCCGCACCATAAGTTTCAAACTGTAAGATGAATGCCATCCAGTCCCCAAACTGCCCTGACCAAGCTTATCAGGACCCCCATTCCCACTGGAGGGTAGGGTCTAGAACTGCTCTTCTGGCCCTAACCCTGGATCACTGGTGAGTGCCTAGGTTTCCTATAACCACTAGGCAGCATCTCTTTCTCTCAACCTATGTTTACTTTATTTGAAGACTGTTTTTCCACCTTGGTATACTGATTTGCAATCCAGTTGCTCCACTGGGTCTGAACCCTTGCCCTGAACTCTAGTCTGCTTGCCTGGGAATCTGATACCAGCCCCTTCTCCTGACGGTCAGGTATTGTTTCCTATATTCTTCATGTATGACTGATCCAAATCTGAAACTGTGATGCTGCTATCCACCCAACTTCAAAAAATACCTCTCATAGAACCCCCACAGATCAGGCTCCTCAGCGCTGGTAGCTAATTTGGGTGGGGACTAGGATTGCCAGTCCTCTGTGGATGCTGAGATTTGACCTGGAGATACCCTCCCTCTGGCTCCCATTCCCAAGAGGTCTGCCCTGGGGGTAAGGGAGTATCCTGAGCTGGGGTCCTACCTCTTATGGATTTTGTTTTTGTTTTTCAATTTTCCTACTTGTCAGATGCCAAAAACCAGGTACCAAGAACAAGTACTTCTTATGCTGGAGTCTATACAGGCTAGTATGAATATGTAACTATAAGTTTGAATTCCAGATAAATGAATTAAACATTTTCAGCCTCTTTGTAGTGCTAAGCTGTGCATTTGATCCAAGAAATCTTATTTACTCCCAAGGTTCCAACTACCAGTTATATCTCACACCCCCAATGCCCTTAAGCCTCATCTGCATATTTAACAAATACTTTAAACATGTCTAAACCTCTTTCATCATCTCCTCTTTTCCCACCCTAGCTCTTGCTTACAAACTTATCCTTTCTCTATCCCTCGGTCTTTTGCC